TTTTAGGTAATTAGCAGGAGGAATGGGGTGGAATGCACTCTTTTTTTGTTTTGTTTTGTTTTTTAGAACCAGAAGTTTCAATCCTTGCTTTTAACTTGAATGTTTAAGGCATTTACACTTAATGTAATTACTAATGTACTTGAATTTATATATACTACCTTACTATTAGTTTTTATTTTTTAGTTTTTATTCATTTATTTATTTTTTTGAGATGGAGTCTCACTCTGTTGCCCAGGCTGGAGTGCAGTGGTGCAATCTTGGCTCACTGCAAGCTCCGCCTCCCGGGTTCACACCATTCTCCTGCCTCAGCCTCCCGAGTAGTTGGAACTACAGGCGCCCACCACGACACCCGGCTAATTTTTTTGTATTTTTAGTAGAGACGGGGTTTCACCGTGTTAGCCAGGATGGTCTCGATCTACTGACCTCGTGATCCACCTGCCTCAGCCTCCCAAAGTGCTGAGATTACAGGCGTGAGCCACCGCGCCCAGCCTTTTTGATTTGAACTACCTATTTTTTCATTGCTTTCTTGACTTTTTATATTACATAATTTTTTACTCTTTAATTTTTTCCTTTGTTTACTTGTTATAATTCTTTTACTATTTATTTGTTACCCTAGATATTAAAACATCCATCTTGAACTTACTATTTTATCTCCTTAATAATGCTAGGATACTAAAACATTTTAATTCTATTTGCTGCCTCCCACTTTTGCATTATTATTTCCATGAATTTAAATTCTGCATATATTTTAAACCTCCCAGAGAATAGTACTGTTATTGTTTTGCATAGTCAATATTTGCAGTTTTGTAAAGAGGTATTTGAAGAGCTTCTTGAATCCTAAGGGTTGATGTTATTCACAGCCATTACTTTCTTCAAATATTACTTCTTCCCTGCACTCTCCTCTTTAACTTCTCAGACTCTGATAGGTTATACCTTTTTACTATGTCACAAATATTCCTAATGCTCCTGTGGTTTTTTTCTTTAAAAAAAAATCTCTGCTTCAGTTTGGATATTTTCTATTTACTTCTCTTCCATTTCAGAAGTTCTGTATTTTGCTGTTAAACCTGTATAAGAACTTCTTAATTTTAGATATTAGATTTTTCAATTTTTGAATTTCCATTTGATTCTTTATTATAAAAACCAATTCTCTAAAGATAGTCATCTTTTCATCTAATTCCCGTTCTCTGTGTGACTGTTTCTATTGAATTTTTTCCTTCTCTGATTTTGGATATGTGGTCCTATCTTTTTGTTTGTTTGTTTGTTTGTTTTAAACACCGTGTATAAAAAGTTGTAGGCAGGGCTCATACCTGGGAGACTGAAGCAGGCGGATCACTTGAGCTCAAGAGTTCCAGACCAGCCTGGGCAACATGGCAAAACCCATCTCTACAAAAGATAGAGAAATTAGCTGGGCATGGTCGCATAAGCTTGTAGTCCCAGATACTTGCAGGGCTGAGACAGGAGGATTGCTTGAGCCCAGGTCGAGGCTGCAGCGAGCCGTGTTTGTGCCAGTGCACTTCAGCCTGGATGACAGAGCAAGACCCTGTCTAAGAAGAAAAAAAAGAAGAAAAGTTGAACAGGATCTGGATGGTGTTATCTTTCTCCACAGAGGATTCATCTTTCCTTATGTCAGCAAAAGGAGGGAAGGGAGAACATGTACATCCAGTCAGGGACAGTGTTGAATCAAGGCTGGGTTGAAGCTCTGCTAAGACTCAGTTTACCTCTGGATAACCTTGGCTACTGAGAATTTTCAGCTGAGAGTCCTTTTGTCCTCTAAAGACCCTCCTCCTGATAGATGCCCAACTATTTTCTTAACAGATACTAGACTTTTGCTTTGCTCTTCAAAGGCTGTCTGCTTACAGTTTTAGTCTTCTGCCCTATATACCCTAGAATTCAGTAAATATCCTGAGGGGAAAATGGCCTGTGTTTGAGTTATGTTAGTTTCTGTGTTAACCAGCTGCAGCCTTCCACTGCATTCTCCAGTAGACAGGACAAAACGAGAATCCAGCTTTTGTCCACACCCAGAATTGGTAAATGCTCCCACTGTCCAAGTGACTGAATAAGTCAGCTTCAATCTTCAGTATTCTCTCCTCTCCAGTCTTAGCCCCTGTATTTCTTGTTACCTCAGCAGCTTTCCAGTGCTTTGAAACAGATGATTTCAAGTATTGCATCTGGCATTTACAGTTCATTCTTGAAAGAAGCACTGGACTGCCAAGCTACTGCATCCCATCTGGAAATGGCAGTGCCAAAAAAGAGCCCTCCCCTTCATACACCACACAGTTTACCATTTAAAGTGTACCATGTATTGATTTTTAGTATATTCACTCAGTTGTGCAGCCATCATTATAGTCAATTTTAGACATTTTCTTTATCATCCTGATGGGTGTGAGGTAGTATTTGTAGTTTTAATTTGCATTTCCCTACTGATTAATGATGTTGAGCATCTTTTCATATGCTTGTTGACTATGTGTATATCTTCCTTGTAGAAATGTCTATTTAAGCTTTTTACCCATTTTTAAAATTATGTTGTTTATTGTCGTTGAGTTGTAGAGGTTCTTTATAGTATATTGTATATCACATACACTATGGAATACTTTGCAACCATAAAAAAGGATGAGTTCATGTCCTTTGTAGGGACATAGATGAAGCTTGAAACCATCATTTTCAGCAAACTGTCACAGGGACAAAAAACCAAACACCGCATGTTCTCACTCATAGGTGGGAATTGAACAATGAGATCACTTGGACACAGGAAGGGGAACATCACAGACCGGGGCCTGTTGTAGGGTGGGGGAAGCCCTGCACTCTCCTCTTTAACTTCTCAGACTCTGATAGGTTATACCTTTTTACTATGTCACAAATATTCCTAATGCTCCTGTGGTTTTTTTCTTTAAAAAAAAATCTCTGCTTCAGTTTGGATATTTTCTATTTACTTCTCTTCCATTTCAGAAATTCTGTATTTTGCTGTTAAACCTGTATAAGAACTTCTTAATTTTAGATATTAGATTTTTCAATTTTTGAATTTCCATTTGATTCTTTATTATAAAAACCAATTCTCTAAAGATAGTCATCTTTTCATCTAATTCCCGTTCTCTGTGTGACTGTTTCTATTGAATTTTTTCCTTCTCTGATTTTGAATATGTGGTCCTATCTTTTTGTTTGTTTGTTTGTTTGTTTTAAACACCGTGTATAAAAAGTTGTAGGCAGGGCTCATACCTGGGAGACTGAAGCAGGCGGATCACTTGAGCTCAAGAGTTCCAGACCAGCCTGGGCAACATGGCAAAACCCATCTCTACAAAAGATAGAGAAATTAGCTGGGCATGGTCGCATAAGCTTGTAGTCCCAGATACTTGCAGGGCTGAGACAGGAGGATTGCTTGAGCCCAGGTCGAGGCTGCAGCGAGCCGTGTTTGTGCCAGTGCACTTCAGCCTGGATGACAGAGCAAGACCCTGTCTAAGAAGAAAAAAAAGAAGAAAAGTTGAACAGGATCTGGATGGTGTTATCTTTCTCCACAGAGGATTCATCTTTCCTTATGTCAGCAAAAGGAGGGAAGGGAGAACATGTACATCCAGTCAGGGACAGTGTTGAATCAAGGCTGGGTTGAAGCTCTGCTAAGACTCAGTTTACCTCTGGATAACCTTGGCTACTGAGAATTTTCAGCTGAGAGTCCTTTTGTCCTCTAAAGACCCTCCTCCTGATAGATGCCCAACTATTTTCTTAACAGATACTAGACTTTTGCTTTGCTCTTCAAAGGCTGTCTGCTTACAGTTTTAGTCTTCTGCCCTATATACCCTAGAATTCAGTAAATATCCTGAGGGGAAAATGGCCTGTGTTTGAGTTATGTTAGTTTCTGTGTTAACCAGCTGCAGCCTTCCACTGCATTCTCCAGTAGACAGGACAAAACGAGAATCCAGCTTTTGTCCACACCCAGAATTGGTAAATGCTCCCACTGTCCAAGTGACTGAATAAGTCAGCTTCAATCTTCAGTATTCTCTCCTCTCCAGTCTTAGCCCCTGTATTTCTTGTTACCTCAGCAGCTTTCCAGTGCTGTGAAACAGATGATTTCAAGTATTGCATCTGGCATTTACAGTTCATTCTTGAAAGAAGCACTGGACTGCCAAGCTACTGCATCCCATCTGGAAATGGCAGTGCCAAAAAAGAGCCCTCCCCTTCATACACCACACAGTTTACCATTTAAAGTGTACCATGTATTGATTTTTAGTATATTCACTCAGTTGTACAGCCATCATTATAGTCAATTTTAGACATTTTCTTTATCATCCTGATGGGTGTGAGGTAGTATTTGTAGTTTTAATTTGCATTTCCCTACTGATTAATGATGTTGAGCATCTTTTCATATGCTTGTTGACTATGTGTATATCTTCCTTGTAGAAATGTCTATTTAAGCTTTTTACCCATTTTAAAAATTATGTTGTTTATTGTCGTTGAGTTGTAGAGGTTCTTTATAGTATATTGTATATCACATACACTATGGAATACTTTGCAGCCATAAAAAAGGATGAGTTCATGTCCTTTATAGGGACATAGATGAAGCTTGAAACCATCATTTTCAGCAAACTGTCACAGGGACAAAAAACCAAACACCTCATGTTCTCACTCATAGGTGGGAATTGAACAATGAGATCACTTGGACACAGGAAGGGGAACATCACAGACCGGGGCCTGTTGTAGGATGGGGGAAGTGGGGAGGGATAGCATTAGGAGATATACCTAATGTAAATGATGAGTTAATGGGTGCAGCACACCAACATGGCACATGTATACATGTGTAACAAACCTGCATGTTGTGCATATGTACCCTAGAACTTAAAGTATAATTTAAAAAAAATAGTAAAACTAAGCTAAATGTAGAATAAAAGATATTCTAGACCTGCTCTAAAAATAAAAAAATAAAAAATAAGGCCCTGTCTTGTTTCCATTCTGTAATCTTGATCCTTCACATTGAAAGGGGTTTTTTTGGTTTGTTTGTTTGTTTTTCACAGGAATCAGTGTCATTCAAGGATGTAACTGTAGACTTCAGTAGGGATGAGTGGCAACAATTAGACCTTGCTCAGAAAAGCCTGTACAGAGAAGTGATGCTGGAAAACTATTTCAACTTGATCTCAGTGGGTAAGCACAGCTCTGCTGGGTACACAGTAGACAGCACCTAATTGAGTATATATTTTTTTCTCAGTAGAATTGCTGAAGTCTGTGTTTTCTGAGGTATGTGGGACTTCTAAAGACTGCAGGACATCTAAAGTGTGTAATAGTTTTGTCCTTATTTTGTCCCATGTTCTTAATAATCTCTTTTGGGTCGTGTGAATATTCCTCTGTTCCCAGTGAACTTTTTTGGAAAACAAATGGAATGCTTCATTGTATGGCCTCTGAAACCAAGTCCTCTATCATCTCCTGTTAACAGGATGTCAAGTTCCCAAACCAGAAGTCATCTTCAGCTTGGAACAAGAAGAGCCATGTATGTTGGATGGTGAGCTCTCCGGTCAGAGCCATCCAGGTGAGAAGGGAACCAAGAGCATGGCAGGCAGTATGACTCAGCTGTATTTGTACTGGGAGAGGCTGTGCACAACTTTGCACAACTTTGCTGTGTCATTAATATGACTTTTAGAACTGCTTGGATAGAGCAGTTATTAGACAAGGACCCTTGGATATCTAAATGCTAACCCCACTTAAGATCCCTTCTCATATCAATGCCTTCTTCTTTGCTTGGCTTTTTAGGAGGGAATGTGCTACAATTACTGGTTATTTGGATCATGTCACACTCTACTTTCTAGGGTCCTGCTTTCTTGCTTTTTTCCTCTCTTTCCCTAGAAAAGTTTTATTCTTTCTACCTCCATCAGGGTCTTAGATCATTTCCTTATGCATTCAAATACTTATAGATCTACCTTCTTAAAAAATTACTGTGCATTACAACTTCAGTTCCTGCTGTTTCTTCTCATTTTGTCTCTTTCCCGTAAGTACCTCAGAATTGTCATCTAGAGATGGGCTTATCTGAAGTCCCCCCATGCCTCTTCTCTAACTGTTGATTTTGACGGTACCATTGACATTTTATTCCTGCTTGGCTAGTGCAACACAACACCGACTTGATCTTTCTAATTTATTTATTTTCATATCTTACAAAAAGTTTTTTTAATCTCATGTACAGGTATATCCTGTACAGAAGATTGAGTTAATAATTATAGCCTTAGTTTTTAGTTAATATCATCATCAGTGTGTTTAAGGCTCTCCTCTTATTTTATTTATTCTTTTTAATCCTCAGTCTCCATACTCATTTTTATCCTTCCAAGAGGCAACTGTTCTAATATATTTGACATGTTTTGCCGTTTATCCTTAAATTTGTGGGATATTTGTAAAATCTGAGTTGTAGCATTGTTAATTTGTAGAAATGGTAGGTACTATATTATATATCCTACTCAGTTTTTTTTTCTCAAATTGGTCCATGTTGCAATGCATTTTTCTAATTTCTACATATCATTCTGTAGTGCACATATATACCACATTTTACTTGTCCAGTTTTTCAGCTACTACAAACAGTACCGCAATACGTTTCTTCATGAATTATTCTTATTGGAAATGAGAATTTCTTTTTTTTTCCTTTTTTTTTTTTTTTCTGAGATGGAGTCTTACTCTGACCCCCAGGCTGGAGTGCAGTGGCGCAATCTCGGCTCACTGCAAGCTCTGCCTCCCAGGTTCATACCATTCTCCTGCCTCAGCCTCCCGAGTAGCTGGGACTACAGGCGCCGCCACCACGCCTGGCTAATTTTTTGTATTTTTAGTAGAGATGTGGTTTCACTGTGTTCACCAGGATGGTCTCGATCTACTGACCTCGTGATCCGCCCGCCTCGGCCTCCCAAAGTGCTGGGATTACAGGCGTGAGCCACCGTGTCCGGCCAGAAATGAGACTTTCTTAAGGAAGAGGAGTGGGATTGCTTTATCATTGGGCATACTAATACTTAATATGATGAGGTATAAGCACATTATTTTCCAGATTGGCTGTGTCACTCTGTAGTCCCTGGAACTTTGTACAAGGGTATTAGGTTTCCCACATCCCTATCCATACCTAGTGTTATCCAAATTTTTAATAATTTGGCTAATCTGATGGGTTTTAATTTCTAATTATTATTTAATTTATATTTCCTAATAAAATACTTTGAACATCTCATTCTGTATCCTTCATTTTTGATGTTCAACTGCTGACATTTTCTTTTCTTTTTTTTTTTTTTATACAGAGTCTCGCTCTGTTGCCCAGCCTGGAGTGCAGTGGTGCAGTCTCGGCTCACTGCAAGCTCTGCC